GCTATGGTCAGACATAGTTGAGTCCCCAGATATATGGAAAGAATGTTGAATATCATTATGATGAGAACATGACTGAAGCTGGTCAAAGGGAAAGTCAGAGCACTTTGTGCTCAGTTAAAACACAACCTGGGCATGAATTCTGACATCTCAGTGTAACCTCTTCTCACTTTGTATTTCATCATCATATCATTCCCTGGAGGGGACAAAGGCTGAATGATGGCTATTTGGTTAAATTCAGTTGCTCTGAAACATTGAGCTATATCCTCATCTACCTAGATAGATACAAGGAGAATATCAGAAAAGCAGACTACAAGCCTCCAGCTGTTTGGCTGCAGTCAGTTTGCCTGAAACATCAGGTCTACCCCCATATACCTACATAGATAATAGGAGACTACAACATATCAGAAAAGCAGACCACAAACTTTTGTAATGAAAAAGCGGACACTACAAACTTTTATAATGAAAAAAGCGCACACTACAAGCCTTTGTAATGAAAAAAGCGAAGACTACAAACTTTGTCATTAACACAACCAGAAGACTACAAACCTTTGTAATGAAAAAAGCGCACACTACAAACTTTTGTAGTCTAAAAAAGCGCACACTAGTTAAACAAACTTCGAAATGAGGGTTTTCTGCCTTCCTCTGCATAGATTATGGTTCCTGTAATATTTTAAGCATCTATCCCATCAATCTCTTTTTCATTGAACATAGCCACACCTTCCATATTTAGAAATTCACACTGGATCCTGAGAACAGCACCTCAAACATCAAACAACATGGTATGGTATAAGGGTGCAATACCATGGTATGGTATGGGGGTGCAATACCATGGTATGGGGTGTTGTAAGCAAATCTCTGTATGGTATGGTATGATTCCATTCCCATGGTATGATCCCATTCCCATGGTATGGTATGATTCCATGCTCATGGTATGATTCCATTTCCATGGTATGGTATGATTCCACCCCCATGGTATGATTCCATTTCCATGGTATGGTATGATTCCACCCCCATGGTATGATTCCATTTCCATGGTATGGTATGATTCCACCCCCATGGTATGATTCCATGCCCATGGTATGGTATGGTTCCATACTCATGGTATGATTCCATCTCTATTGTATGATTCTGAAGACATGTGGGATAAGGAATTGGCAATCTGTTCCAAGAGCATCTCCCAAGTTGCTCCCTCATAGGTGAATGTCCATAGCATTTGTTCATATTGCTGTCAATGTCATGGACTTCTTCACCATCCCTGATTAATTGTATGAAAGACAGAATTTTGATTTAAATTAGAATAGCTATATTTAATAATGATACCTTGAAGCTTGTAATTAGAAGTCTTGGCCTGCTTGTGTTCAAATGTTCAAATCAAAATTCCCCACAATGCCAGCTCTGCTGAGTGGCAGATATGAGGAGATTCCA